AGGAACACTAAACTGATAATCTTCATGTCTTTTAGAAATGGAGAAGTTCTTAGGGTTATTTCTTCATTCACTTACATGGATCAGATGAGGGATTTTGATGTTATCTGTCTAATGTGATCAGCTCCTTTGGGAGGCTTTCATACCCATTCCTACGAAATACTTGAAACACATTCTGCCTTGAGGTGGATTTGTGTGTGCTTTACTAGTTCTTTTAAGTTTTTTAACTTACACTAGAAATCAGATATTAAGGATTAAGTGCATAATGTTCTAAGAAAATAACTAGACAAGTATACTTTTGCTGCACATTCTTATTAAAGTCAACATGGAAAAGTTTCCTAGCTAAATGAATGACGTGCAGATGTTTTGCTCACTTTCTGGTTACACCGCTTTGCCCTGTCCTCTCTCCTTCCTCCTTTTCCAAGCTGCTTTGCATAAGACTTTCCATTTGCCATCACAATACCACATGACACAAGGAAATTGTCCTGCATATTTTCAGTGTCACTATAAGTTACCTCAGAGTATAAGTTTGATATCACAGACAATTCTTGATATATATTTTCTTTACTTTCGTTTTATAATGAAGGGAGGAACTGGCTTAGAAATGTGTATATATTATTAGGTGAAAATATGAAGAACTAAATGCCCAATAACATGGGACTCAAACATTCATTCAATTGAATACTCTGCAGCTAGTTAAAATTACATTTTAGAATAATATTTAATGACATAAAAAATGTTTATAATGATGGTGATAGCTAAACTGTATTGGGTGTTGTTATCTTGCCAGACTGCTTTCTAAGTGCTTGTGTTAGGTCAATTGACTAATCCTCACAACAGTCTTATGGGGAGAAAGTATTGTTATTCTCATTTTAAAGATGAGAAAACTTAAGTTCAAAGCATTTAAGTAGTTTGCTCAAGCTTAGATAGCTGGTAAGAGGTAGAACTAGAATTCAGACCCAGGCATCATTACATGAAAAAATACCAAAGAAAAATCTCTATATGGAACTAGACAAAATGTTTTAAATTCATCTAGTAAAGAAAATGTGTTTTAAGATACCCAATCAAATTTAAAGCAGAATTAGTGGAGGGGAAGGACAGCATGTCCTACCAGATATCAAAATATACTCTAAGATATTGTAATTTTTAAAAGTACCATATTGTAGCAGAAATAGAATAAATCAGAACAGCATGCTATTTTTATGTTCATAGGAAGAGGCTGAATGAATACACCTAAATATTAACAGTGCTTACCACTGATTAAAAGTATACATGTGGTTTATTTTTCATATCATGTACAGTGAAATATTTAGATCATATGCATTAGCAAGTTTATTTCTGGTGTCTTTAAAACTTCAGCTTATAACAATATTTTATTAGTGCAATATATATTACTATTTGATTTTATGTATAGTGTACCTTGTATTTTCTGAATTGCTTGCTCTGTAAAGCAAATTTTCTAAAATGTTACATGTACATAACATTTCTATATACAGTGGGGCCTTGACTTATGAGTTTAATTCGTTCCGTGACGGAGCTCTTAACTCAAATTAGTCGTATGTCAAATCAACAGTGAACGAGTGAGACACGTGATGCTGGGCTGATGTTGTGGCATTCACTGTGACGTTCGCTGCGCCAACTAGCGGTGGGGTATCTGAAA